TTTTTTTTTTTTTGAAAAAAGAAAGAAAAAAAGGAGGAAAAAATTTAGTGAACATTTTTTACTTTCAGTGCAGTAATGCTTTAATGTTGCTTTTCTTTCGCTCATTTTTTTTCCTTGATCGTCTAATTTGATATTTAAAAAATTGTCATTTCAGTGGCTTTTTTTCAGTGAGTGAAAAAACTTAAACATTACCTGCAATTTTTCTTTTTTGCATTTTTTACTCTGTAATTACATCCAAAAAATACATGTGCTTTTTTCTTCCATTAGTTCTTCGTAGCTGTTACTAAAGGCTTTTTTTTTGTTCGCTGTTTGATAAAATATCATTTTACTATTAAAGTTAATCTAGAGTGAGAAAAATATTAGCCATTATGATGGCATTAAGTAAATGCTTTGAATGATCAACTAAAATTAAATAACTGTTCTTTTTTCATCTACCATTTATCACCATCATTAATCATTTTTTTAGCCACTGATATTTGAAAGCAAAAAGAGAAAAAACGATTTGGTACATTTGATGAAATATTGAAGAAATGCAGTTCAGTAGTTTAATTTTTAAAAACAAAAATTTACAGAAATGAACAGAGTGAATTTGCTGTGAATGAGGGATAACGCTTCGATAATCTATTAAAATATCAACAGATACTGATGAGTCGCTATTCGGAGAATTAAAAATTTTTAACTTCAATTAGCTTTTCTGATCGAAAAAGATGGCCGGCATCTGCTCAGTACAGTATCGGTAAACGCTACTTACCATTTCAAAAATTTCTAATCAGCTTTAGCAGATTAAGGTTCTTCATTTGCTGTCCTATCATCACTATTTGAGAAGATATTTGAAAGGAAAACAATACCCCGTTTGAACACAAAATCTGGCGACGGTCTTATAGAAAAATCACTCAATCAACCATTGCCTGTGCTCTGTAGTTGCCGTGTTCCTCAGTCAACAGAGAGCTATCGTCAAGACTGGAAAGTTTAGAAAGAATCTTGCTCATTTATCAGAGCTTGATTACCTTCAAATTACCTTGATACTCATTCTGTAAGCGCCAAAACTACTCATTCAAGCAAACAGAAAATATTGCTTTCAAGGGTAGCGTAATTTTAACAGCAATCTCTGATCAGAATTTTGCAGCAAGTTATTATTTACATAGAATAATCCGTAAATTGAACGGTGAGTGACTACTTTACAGTAAGAAGTAGTTTTCGACTCCTTTGCATTTTCAGCAGTTCAAATCGGATTTTTTGTTTTTCACTATTTTTTGGCGGGGAAGGAACTAGACCAGTTGTAAAGTGGAGTTCAAAAAGCAAGAGTCCACTGTGAAAACAAAAACAAAACTAACCCAGACGGTCCATTGAAAAGTCGTCCGTAACTGGAAAATCAACTTCTGGAAAGTTTCTAGCATAATTACGAGGCTGCAACTGCTTCCAGAAGAAACTTTTTTAGAGTAGTTTTAGTTGCTCAAAAATGAGTTCTACAATTGATGCTGACACAAAGTTGTCTAAGACCAACAATATGCCTCAATTTTATTCAGCTGAAGACCTGAATAATATTATTGAAAATCTCAGACAGCTGAGAGGATCAACCAGATCAAAGGCTTCTACAGACAGTGATCTAGCGTCTAGAAGCCATTTGAGTGCAATACGTAATCACCACCAAAGGAAACAACGAGGACGACAACGGTGCAACAGCATCGATAAGGCAATCCCCTACAACTATATTGGATTATTTTCGGCTGGTTTTCACCGGTATAGTACCATAGTCTCATCGGGTTCGCATTGTGGAAGCAGCGAGGGTAACAACATCGGCAGAAGCACAGAAGTAAACAAAAAAAATTCAGTTTTATGTTCCACTGAAAAAAGAAAGTTTTTGATCGGTAACAGCGATAGTAAAGCCCTTAATCAAACTGAGCAACGATCACGTCTACTACTACCACCACCACCACCTTCGCTACCTCCACCATCACCTCCATCATCGTCACCTCCATCACCACGATCACTACCCCCACCTCGAGCGCCACCTCCTCCTCCACCATTAAGGCATATACTTGAAAAACGTTCTCTGTGTGTTAGCAGTCGTAAAAAAGTACCGATTATCTTTAATAAAAACTCAACTTTCTGCAATCTTAAGACAACTAAGCCTCTAGAAAGCCGTAAGTCTCATCAGTCTGATAATTTCACTTCAAATTCACTGCTGTCTTTGCCTGCCTCTCCTGCCCTTCATCAATCAAGTGGAAAATTTTGTGCAAAATTTGAAGCTAAATTTGGTCCAGAATCAAGCGGTGTCACAAATCCAGAACCAGAACCAGATGCTGTTTGCGATTTGTCGGTTGACAATGACGACTGCGACTCTGTAGCAGCTGAAGTATCTGCTCCATATACAAAATCCGCAAAACGTCATTCTCTGTCGCTGGAGAACTGTTCGGTAAAAAGTTTTTCAATTTCTGGTGCAAGGAAAAATCAGTTGAAGTACTTGGAGCGCTGCAGTTCGTGTCCGCCAGAGGAGATTTCAGATAGCAGAAAAAAATTAGAAAAATATTTTAATATTAATATTCTGGAAAAAACTGTAAAAAATCGAAAAACCAAACGATTTTGGCGGTCTTTAAACGTACTTTTCAAGTCAGATAAAAGCAAAAGTTTACATTTTCGAGAAATAACTTTACAACCATCTCAAACTTCGCTGAATTCCGTAATGACGTCATCGGAATTCGGATCTCTTTCTCTGCAACAAATTGGTCATCCACCTGATCGCAATCATAGCTTTGAACAACTTCCGGAATTTACGGATTCAGCGAACAACGTTTATGCTGAATTACCTTGTCAAGGTAGACAGCGTAGCAAACGTTCAAAACATTCTAAAAAAGATATGTTGAATTTTTTTACGACTGAAACTCGGAACCTAAAAATTGACGAGGGTTTCCTGGTGAAAGCCTCAAGTAAAGGCCGTTTAAATAAGCTTACCAAATGCGATAAATTACAACATTTACCACCAAAATGTTCCTCAGCGAAGATTCATCATAAACGTTCAATTTCACGCTCTTATGATCAGCTGGCCGAACTAGCAATATCTACGTTGGCAAGCCATAGCAGTTCACGTAAACAACAGGCATTCAGCCAGATGCTTCGCAGTAATACAGATGCACATCTAAATCATGTGCCATATAACACACCAGTATTCTGGACGCCGCGACCAATTCGTTCCCGAGGTACCGGAGCTGTGGAACGTCGTTTACGACGTGGAACAACCACTTTGTTCAATGGATCTTTGTGTTCGACTGGACCATTAAGTACTCCAATCAATGAAATGGATAACGGTATTTTTGTTTTTTCAATTAATTTTTTGAGTTTTTTTTGACTTTGTTGGCCTACCTCACATTATTTGTCTTAAACGAAGTTGGCTATCAAGTGTCAAAAATGAATAAACAGTGTTTTCATAAAAATTATCAACGATGCATTAGCGTCAAGTGACTGATAAAAGTGCGCTGCAGAAGTCTTTAACCTAACTAGCAACACCGAGTCACAGTCTTAACACTGTTAAAGTAGAATAATTTTGCAAATTAAAATACTATTCTCAGGCTTTTTTTTTTTTGTACAGTTTACTGTATGAGAATTAATCCTTTTTTACTATTATTAATTTAAAACTTTTTTGAGAAAACAACTATTTTATTGACTCGTCTCTGTAATGGATTTATTAACAACAGTTATGCTGTTGACCCGATCGCAAACGAGAAAGAAAACCACAAAACAAAATTGTTTTATTTCAGAAGCAGTTAATTAACATCTGTTATCGTTTCGCCAAATAGTTGGCCGATAACGAAACAGCATAAAAATTAAAATACATACCCTGATAAGGACATCAACACTGTATAAGTGTTTTAAAGGTTTAAATGAACTTGAAAGCAATGTTACGGTAACGGTTTTGATGAAATAAAAGAAAAAAATGTTTTTTTTATGTTTACAAAAAAGCGGGCTTTTTTTGCTCATTTTTTTCTTGGCTTTTAATACTTACGTTTCAGAAGACTTTAATGTAAGGGAAGGAAAACAAAACTAGGACCTTTTTCATAAAGCATAACAATGATTCTTCAAAATGTTCTTCTTCGTTTTTTTTTTTCATTTGTTCAGTTTTTCCTGTTTTCATATTTTAGTCAACGCCTTCGTTTTTTTAGTGTTAAATGCTATTATAATACCTACAGCTTCTCGGAAAAAAAAAGAAGCTTCTAATGTTTACCGGTTTTTAAAAATTTCTACAAGTTATATTTGCTCTTATAACAGCTTTACTAAGAGAACAACAAAAAAAGAAGAGTGAGGATCGGATTACGCTTTTTTTTTCTGTATCAGCACACTAAGATTTATCAATATGTTAAGGTAAACAAGGGTAAAATGCTTTATCTTATTCTGGCTTTTGTTTAACATCTGTTGATCAAACAGCTCTATCTTCTTTTTTTCTTTTCTTTTTACAGAAACTTAAAATACCTTAAGAAATAAATTCCTACTGAGTTTTTAACTAATCTTCGAAACACGTAAAATTTACTGCAACACTTTGTCCATGATGACTTCAAAATAATTTGCAAAAAACACCTTTGCAGTTATTTACAGGTCTGTTTCTTAAGCTCTTAGACAACGGGTAATGTTTTAAGATGGTGAATATTCTAAAGAGTTTAGGTTTTTCAAGATTTTATGCAATAAAAGCTCAAGTTTTTTCTTCTATGACTTATTGAAGCAGTAAAAAAAAATAATCTTTTTTTTTTTTGTTTTGTATCAGATTATTGTAAGGCATCGAAAGATATTCAGTGGTAATGTACTAGGTGTTGTACAATACATTTGATTATTGTATCATTGGAGTTATTTCTTTGCTAAGCATAGCACTGAACTATCTGTACAATAGTCACAATATGTCAAACTGTTGTTATGAAAGAAAGAAGAAAGTAAAACAAAAAATAGTGTCGTAAATTGAGGTCTTATGCCATATATTCAAAAAGTTTAAGGAATCAATTGACCACTTATCAGCGCTGTCATAAGGCTGTTAATATAGTACTTAAGCAAAATCTAAAGTAGTTATCATCTTGTAGGACAGGTTCTTATTTTTTTCTTTTTCTATAGTATATTTTCTAATGTATTTTCTAATGTTACTTTGCTGTTGCTATATTGAACATCTCATTCGTAGATAACAGAAAAAAAAAACTTGTGTTTCGGTTGAATGCGATCCAGAAAATTAGATTTTATTAGACTGTTTATTACATTTGAAGACTGTCAAAAATTGTTCGTCTAAAAGAAGCATTACTGTATCGGCCAAATGCTTCATTATTGCTTTGATTGTACTTTCAAAAGTACGTTTCTGTAACAAAAACTTCAATTGCAGAAGTAAAAATTGGAACAATGATAGAAAAAAATAGACTAAACAAAGAAAGTCAGAAACGAAAAGTTCAGTAATCTGTTTGTATCCTCTTTTTTTCTTCCTCACTATTTTAAGGTCATTTTGGCGTTGCTGACTGAAACTTTTATTGGTCTCTATTTTTTGCTTAACATTTTAGCCAGTTCTAATATTCTTACTAAACAAATTGTATAAGAGTTATCGCTGAAGCTGTCAAAAGATCAAAAGCAATTTTTGGTGCCTTGATTAAGCGATATGATTGATAACAAAAAAGTTATCTAGATTGCCTTTCTGAAGAATCAAATAGCGCTTTTTTTCTGTTTGTTTTCACACGATTTAAGAAAACAACAATGTTTTCATTAACAAAAAAAA